AGAGGAGAGAGAGAGAGGGAGGGAGAGAAAGAGGGAGGGAGAGACAGAGAGATTGGTAGTGCAAACTCGCTTTCAGAACAGACTTTTACTTGAAACTTCAAACTTTAGAAACATTAAAAACAGGGAAACATACAGAGAAATGACGCTCACGCCCAGTATCAAAATACGCGTTTTGTGTCTTTCTGTGTAACGCTTCGTGAGAATAATGCGTAATGAGAAACTCGATTTTAAACCAGAATTTCACTTCAAACGTCAAATTTTATTCACAACAATCAACTTGGCAGAATTGTATACATGTAGCACCGAATTACACGTTGATTATAAAAATGTCATTAAAAACACAGGACAAGGACAATACATACGGGTACACAACTGAACATAAGACACAAAGACACTAAGATTTTGAAAGGAAACAAAGAGAGATAAAGAACAGATGATCTTTTTGCGTTATGTCTGAAACTTACCTAGACCTTTAGGGGCGCAGGTGTTCTCCGAAAAAGAAGTAATTTAAAGTTTACATTGACAGGTAAAATCGTTGCTTGAGCGATTCTCTCGTTTCATGTTAGTCGCAGGCGGGAAACTATACAGTTTTGTCGTGTTTTGTATGTTGTAGATGCTATGAAATGTTTCTATTTAGACGCTTGGCAGTGATCGCTTGTTTTTCGTTCGACGTTTGTGGGATCGGTATAACTTATACAGGGCTAGATACGGATAGATGTAGGGTGTATGGCAATGGTATAAACATTATGTACAACACAGTATGCTCAACACAGCACGACACAACACAACACAATACAGGTCAACGCAACACAACTAAACACTGCGCAAATAGTTTTTTACAATGAATGTTTTCTTGTCCACCTTTCTCTCTCCTGCCACTCCTGTAGACCCGAGCACGTCCTAACTGACGTTCTAAATCACTGTCTACAACAACTATCTTTTTGTCCACCTTGTAGACCAGCGTACCTGGTGTCCTACGGACAGGTATCAAACTTCATCGTGATTGTCTTCTTGTCCATCTTTCCGTCTCCTGTAGACGCAGAAAGAGGACCTAACTTACGTTCTAAATTGTTGTCCTCAATGACTATTGAAAAAGAGTGCCAAAATAGTCTTTTTTTTACAATGGCCGTCTTCTTCTCCACCCTGTAGACCCGCGTACCTGGTCTCCCACGGACGTTGCCCGGTGGCTGCGGTGGACGGCTGACCAGTACCGCCTGCCGAACGTGTACCTGGAGTGTTTCCCTTCTCATTTCTCACCCATGTCCTCTTGTCCACCTTTAGACCCCCGTACCTGGTCTCCCACGGACGTTGCCCGGTGGCTGCGGTGGACGGCTGACCAGTACCGCCTGCCGAACGTGTACCTGGAGTGTTTCCCGCTGGACGGCGCCCAGCTCTGCGACCTGGCGGAGCGCGAGTTCGTGTACCGCGCGCCCGAGTCCGGACAGATCCTCTACGCGCTGCTAGACATATGGAAGTCCGGCATCACCAACGGTAGGGAGGGCTTTTTTTATTTTATTTATGTGCCATATGTCATATATTGTGCTAGAAAAAGAGATATCTCCAGAAGAAAAGGAGGAAATCAAAAACAAACAGAGATGACATTTTATTTCCTCTACGCGCTGCTAGACATCTGGAAATCCGGCATCACCAACGGTAGGAACATCAATATTTCTTTCCTTCCATCCCTCTTCTTTCCTTTTTTCCTTCTTCCTTCCTTCTATCCTTCTTCTTTCCTTCTTCTTTCCTTCTATCCTTCTTCTTTCCTGCTTCTTTCCTTCTATCCTTCTTCTTTCCTTCTATCCTTCTATCCTTCTTCTTTCCTTCTTCTTTCCTTCTATCCTTCTTCTTTCCTGCTTCTTTCCTTCTATCCTTCTTCTTTCCTTCTATCCTTCTATCCTTCTTTCCTTCTTCTTTCCTTCTACCCTTCTTCTATCCTTCTTTCCTTCTATCCTTCTTCTTTCCTTCTATCCTTTTTCTTTCCTTCTTTCCTTCTTCCCTTCTTTTCTTCTGTGTATTCCTTTTCATGTTGAGGAATAATCACGAAAGGTAGGGACAGCATGTTCTTAGAATGCTGGAAAGGAAACAATGAGCGGTGGGGACGGCAATATTTCTATGTTTTCTTCCTTTCTTATAGATATCTGTCTTCGTCATTGTTTTATTTTATTTCATCTATGTGGCATGCATGCATAGCTTTGATGAAATTTATTGTTCGACAATCGTACATGGTACAATGTGTGGCAGTAATACAACAATACTACAAAACTAAAGTAACAAAATTACATGCAGCTTAAAGGTTGGCACAGTTTTTTTTCTTAAATGCTTGAAAGCAAACAATGAAAAAAAGATCTCTAGAAGAAAAAACAGAAAATGAAGAAAAAACGGAAGGCTTTTTATTTACCTCTTTCCCTTTGTACTTCTGCCGTTTTTCACTGCGTCCTTTTGATTTTTGGAAACATGAAAACTAAAATGCCAAACTCTTTTCGAAATATGATTTTGGTCTGCAAGTTCACAGGGGCTGTGAATGGTTGTAATGTTTGAACTGACTGTTTATGTGTTTGATATCAACAGGACCAGGCAGCCGGAGTACAGTATGTACAATCAACAAGAAACCAAGTGAGTTTTTTTCTTATTCTATCTAACCATCATTGCGATGTAAATTAAATTGCCACCAAATGTTGCACAATGCTTCGCTTGAAATATTAACATTTGGCTTTGTAGAAAATAGAAGTAGATTCTGAGCAGCATTTTGCAAATATTCGACACTGTTTGGTGGATTGATTTACAGAGTGACAGAAAATATACACTTCTTACAGCGAGACGTGCTATTTTATTTCTCGTTTGGATTCTCTAGCTAACAGAGGTTTCACGATGGCACACTGGCTTGGAATGTGATATTCAGATAGCATTTTTAAGTTTCCTTTGGCACTCAAACATTTTGTCATGCCAACAAATGACAAATTAGTATTGGTGTTTTTGTCATGGCGTTACTGCTTGAAAGTGCATGAAATTTTCTGCGGCACGTATTTTTATCAGAGTCTACACACGCGATGTTTGTTTGTTTGTTTGTTTGTTTAAACTAATCACCAGTTTTGCCCCTTTTCCAGTGTCTTTCCCTAACCCCTACATGCCCAACTGCGCACCCTACCCCGCCTTACAGGACACCTCGCCTCCTCAGACGGAAAAAGGTGAGACAAAACTACGTCATAGAATCGCCATGAGAGATTATAATAAGTTTTATTGCAAATTCATGCCTGACGGCTAATTGCAGAAACAGAAGAAACATTTGGTATAAAAACAGCTAATTAGTACACATAGAACTACTAAGAAACTAGTAGTAAAAACTACTGGGTTTGACTTCTTTTTTGAAGACAGAGGAAGACAAAGGATCCTACTTTTTCTGTAATTTGTGGGTTTTCGGATGTTAAGAGGAGAGTAGTTTTCTTTTCATTTGTATACGTGTGAAAGTTTGGGTAGAATTTGGAGTCTACGTCAAAGAGTTCATTTCGTTCATTGCTATAGAGGGTATAATTTGAGATAAAATGCGTTTATGATTATAACGTACGTCAGCATGACATTTGGGTCATCTCCTTTGTCATCTCGGTACTAAACTACGTACGGATGTATTGCATTCTTCCTTGTAGCACAATATTACGTGGACAAGTTGTTTGTAAAGAGTGTGAGAGGGTCATCACAAAAACGTGCCGCTGCAAATACAGTGTCTGACGTTGGTAGTGAAATGTCGTAAAATTGTAAACTTTCATCGGGGTTATGTTGACCCTGGAGCCAAAGAGGTAGCCTGTGGTGGCCCTGGCAACAGCCTGGCACCCAGACTTTCATGAATCTATACGTAAATTTATAAATATTTCTTGAACTTTGGAACGATTCAGATGCATCAGAATGATCCAAATGCTTTCGGGATGTATCCAGAATGACTCGGCGATGTGCGCAAAAGTCTTGGTCAACTTCAGCAAAGATACCGCTAAAGATAAGGTGTTTTTACGGGCGTAATTGATGACGACGACGCCATGTTGACAGTATACTTGGCACAAAGCGCTGAAAATGTTGGCATATTTACGGTAAACCCCGACTGTTTAGGCCCAGGTAAACACCAGTCCGTGCGACGCAGGGCTTCATATTAGGACATTCAATCAAAGTCAGCTGTAGTTGTACCATGCTTCAGTTGTAGCGACACAAACACACCGCCACTTTACTAAAATAATGTGTTTTATTGCTAAGTCATTCCCGAGGGCTACATTGCAAGTACAGAAGAAACATTTGGCATAAGAACAGGCAATTAATACACAGAACTACTGATAACTACTGATAACTCCTAAAAACTACTGGGTTTGACTTCTTTTTGAAGACAGAGGAAGGCACAGGTCCCTCTTACTACTCTTACTATCTAATAATCACGATCAAAACCGGGAGTTCTTTCAAAACTATACAACAGCTCTATATTTTGTGCCGTGGCTGCCATGTAAGGTGACAATATCCAGTCGATATTCTTCCTAATTGATTGGTTTCTGTTCACCTGAGATGCCCCGTGTCAAAAGCAGGATACCCGTGTGAATCCTGAGACATCGTTGTCCCGAAGTTAGACCCTGGAACTCTCTATTAAATGCAAGGGTGCGACCCGAGGCCCCCTCCCTCCCTCCACCTGTTGATTTTCATTCGCACTTCAAATGATTAGTCTACACTCTGTTTAGTAGTCATAGAACATGTTTTGTATAGGTACAACTGCTCACTGTACCCTTCATAAGTATAGTTTAGCGTAATATAGAACTGAACGTACATATAGAGTCGAAATATTTTCTGGCCAGTAGTTCTTTATAACACACTGTCAGACACAGTAACCGTTGAGCATATATGTAGCATATATCTATAATAGACTCATACCAACTAGTAACTATATTATTTGCCATACATTGTACCCGTGTAATCGTTGTGCAATAAACTTGACTTGACTTCAAATAAAATCAGCCCGGGGCCCTTTGGGGACCCTGTTGATGTTTCCACGATTAGTTTACGGGTTGGATGCGACCTATTTTTTCGCCGGATTGTAGCTTAATTTTTGAGGTAAAATAAACCTGTGGCACAGTCGAGCTCAAAATAGCCAGGCAGTCGCTGGGAGTCCCATGAAAATGTAACAACAAAATGTTTGTAAAAAGTGGTTGATTGTGATATTTGATACAGCGCAACGGACAACCAAACTCAGTACCTTTGTTGCCCCGTACATGAAAAGTGCTTATTGTCCGCATATAATTATCGCGTATAACAGTATAGATTCAATGTAAAACAGTGTGAGGTTGATTCATGTCTCCAAGCACAGCGTTTTGAGCTTTGTGTTTATCAGAATCTTGGCTTCGTCAGCTGAAAAACCCGAGAGAAAGGTTATGTTGTGACGACAAACGCACTTTCAATTCATTGCTCCGTACATGATTTTCATTCATACTTTATGTAGAAGAACAGTATAGATTCAATACAAAACTGTGTGATGTTGGTTTATGTCTTCAAGCACAGCGTTTTGAGCTTTTTGTTTATCAGAATCTTCAGCTGAAAAACTCCAGAGAAAGGTCATCATGTTGTGACGACAAACGCATTGATCTGTTGTGATGAAGAGAATTGTTATGATTTAATCTATGTTGGCAAACTTTCGCCCAGCCTTCAATGGGCACTTTTAGAGGACAGGTGGCAGAAAGATCGATAAGACAGGTCAGAGAACTTTTATGAAGTGCGGGACATAAACACACAATAATAGACAATCAACACCTGCTTCTCTATATTGTGTATAGGAATGTAGAATAAGACCATGGGTTTGTTAGTAAATGTAAAAACATACACACATACGCTTTCTCTGGTTACACACTCTTTCTAACTAGAGGCTGAGGAACCGAATATTTGACAATTCTCTTAACGAATTTCATAGAAAAGTACGATTTTCAAAAACGTTTTGTGTGTTTTGTTTTGTTTTGTAAAATGGAACGGGGCTTTTTTTATTGTGGCTTTTGGCTGTGGATGTTTGGCTATGCCAGGTGGTTGGTCGGCTAGGCGTCATTGTACGTGCCTAATATTGTGACAATACACATGAAATAGTTGATATGCACCATTGTAGAACGATAAGATTTTTTAAAATAAATGTACAATGTACAACGAAGGGAGAACCGACAAAATTAGAAGGACAAGTAGGACTCCTTGAGCTATCTTTCTTGTTTTTCTTTTCTTTTCCCGGTAAAATTTTTGAAAGTGGAACAAGGACAGACAAACAGAACTCAGACAATGAAGAGTTATTTCTCAGTGACAGCTGACCTCGGTGCCATGTTAGATCCGGGACCAGGAACACTGGTGTGTTATTTTTGGTCCCGTGAAACAAAATCTGGCCGTCTAACTCTTGTCTTGCCGCTATTTTCATTAATTCAATAATGGAATATTCACATTATGTGTAGAGATGGGGGGAATCAACAGACATGAATTTGCCAAACTGGCATGTTACATTTTTGTAGGCTATCCTGTACTTATTTGACGTAAAAGTGTCAAACTTTTACGTTGTCCCTCTTAAAGCAAAATGTTTGGTGGAAAATGTTTTGTACTTCTTTTACACGACAAGTGTGAATTTTGTTGGACTAAATTTCCACCCAAAAAGCTATTTGTTTATTTGTGATCAATATTAATTGTTGTTAAATGTCTTCTGTGTTCTGTGTTGATTTCTGTCTTTCACACAGCAGTGCATTTTTGACAGTTTCGATTGTGTATCGAATTTCTTTAAATTTGTTGTTTAATTCGTCCATAGAGCAGTGCAGTTTTTAAAATCTGTTGATTGTTCGCTACAGCAGTGTCTCTATGGCATTCTTTTTAGATTTCTAATTAAAATTTGTGAATTGTTTTTTTTTACATACAACAGTGTCTCTATGGCAGTTTCTCCTGTTGTTGATTTTTCCTTCCATACAGCAGTGCATCTATATCAGTTTTAGTGAATATCTATTTAAGATTTGTTGATTTTTCCCCATAAAGCGGTGTTTCTATGGCAGTTTCAACCCCGTGCTACATTTCCCCTGTTGTTGTTTTTAACCTTAAAATTTCTACTTACAATTTGTCTATTTTATCCCCCATACAGCAGTGCATCTATGGCAGTTTCTGCGCGAGCTTCTCTCCCAGCCTGAAGCCTACAGCAGGTTTATACGCTGGATGGACAGAGGAAAAGGTGCGTGCGTTTCCACGTTTGTGATTGAAAGATAAAACTTTATCACTCAAACCATCGTTCTAACGAATGAATGAAGACCTTCATTGTACAAAGGAGTCAGTTCTGTACACAAACAAAATAATATACATGATGATTAAGCTATCACTAGCGCTATAATCTACGTAATTTCGAATTCTTCTCGTTTCGCTATGATGGTGAAAATATAAGAGGTTTGTCTAAGTATAAGTTCATTAGAAACGTGAACTTGTCTGTATTACTTAAGTGTATATAGAAGCATGGATGTGATGTCCTTTTGTGATATTAAATGATATCTATTCAATACCTATGACAGAACAAGACATACACATGTATCTGCACACTTCTTACACGTAACCTTTGCTCATCTAATTTCAAGCATTGTTTAAAGCTAACTACTGATGATGCCCTTACTTAAGTTCTTAAGTTTAAAAAAATACCGCGCGACAATTGTACAAGGTATAATGTTTGGTAACAACTTGACTTGACTAAGTTGTCGAAAATTCCCATGGCATTTCCTACTTTTACGAGTACATTCTACATGACAACAACTATATTTTGTATTATCCAACAATACTACAAGGCTAATCTACCCAGACCTACATTTTGAACAACAAAATAGTATCGATATCGATATTAGTACATAAATTAGTTTACTGGTCACTGTGTTGTTCCATAATGAAAGTCATGGCATGCACTGCACTTTTTCTTTAGACTGCGTTTTCATGTTTTAAGGTGGCAAGGTGGTCTTGTGGTCTGGGCTGTTGACTTAGAAGAATCTAAAGGTTCTGGGCTAGAGTCCTTCCGTTGGCAGGCCACAATGCAGTGTTCTTTGCAAGGAAAGGCACTTTACACCCCCTCCCCGGATCCAGGAGAAATGAATGAATGAACTGGTTTATTTATTATTTACAACACACATGCCATTGCAGCCTTACATGGCTGAATTGGGGCATAATACCCATTAAAATTTATCAAGAATGGTTCAGCAGCTCGACAATGAAAGGTAAAACACTATTCTTGAACCTAGACGTCCTGCAGCTAAACTGCGAGAAGTTGTCCTTCGATCTCAGATCTCTGCCAGTCAGGCACACTTGAGTCACCTAGCCTCCTACCAGGCGTACCTGAACTTCGGGGATTAAAACGCGCTGTTTTGTCAACAGTTTCGAATTCGTCTGTTATCGTAGGCCACTGAAGCCTTCTCCGCTCCGTCAGACACCGTCCTACGGTCTGTAGATAAATCAGGGGAGTATCGGCTGTGAGATCTCTCCCCTGTCATCTCACATCTCTGCCCTGTCGGCTGATTTACGGTGGTGACCCTTTATCTGTGAGGTTCCCACAGATAGCGGAGTGACAGGGTCTGTCAGCCGGGGGAGTGACGTATGTGAAGAGTGAGGGGGGTCTCCAAGCAGATCCTACGGTGGCATGGCAGTATCCTCTACCAGGCTTCCAGAGTGGACATTCATTGGCCAAATAGAGAGAGATAACATGCCGGGAGAGTTGGTCCGCTAGAGAGTATATTTTTGTCCGGTGCGGCGAACTGTACTCTCTAGCAGACCAACTCTCCTTCAAAGCTATCTCTCTCTCAGTCTATTTGGCCGATTTCTACTCTTTCCAGCCGTCTCCCGAAGCCCGGTAGAGAGTAGCAAGTCAGTATCCATTGGCCAGAGGAGTAACTGTTTTTCGGTGGCTAGTGGTCACTCCACTGGCTAGTGGATACTGTCTTGCCACCGTAGCATCTGCTTGAAGATTAGGGGGAGGGGGGTACTGTTGACGCTGATTGTTTGTTTGTTTCGTTTGGTACACCGCAAGTAGGCTGTTTCTGCCAGACTCCAATGGGTAATGCTATAGCTACATGAGAACTACCTGCCCAGTGTGCCTACTAGTACTTTTTGGTGGTCTTCCCTTAGATAGTTTTCCCCGGCCATTGACACAAGCATTCAGAATCCTGTCTATAGTAACCACCTGTCCATATAGGTTTTAGCGGTCACCTGAGTGGTCTAGGAAATTTCCCAAATCGAAAGAATGATGTACCAGGGGAGTTAGCCGTCCATAGGAGTACACTTTGTAACCCAGGAGCTTAAACTCTGGTTATAGAAACTTTTGGTACTGTAGCTAAGAACCCTAATCTCCAAACAGATCCCTTTCGGTGGCAAAAAGACAGTATCAAATTGGCCAGGCAGTATCCATTAGCCAGAGAAGGTCGCCAGCCAACGACGGGTGGGGGTAGCGACAAAGAAACGGCCATATATATAAAGGTAATGATCATCCCCCCACAACCTCTGCTTGGAGAGTAAAGAACCAGTTTGCAAACGCCCACCTGTTGGTAACTTCAATGAAATGCTCGCGCTGTGATCACGGATGCATAAAAAACTGAGTCAGCTGACAGGGTGACTCACTCGCACGCGCAAATTCTGTAAAAATGCGTGGGCTAGAGACTAGTTGGCACCACAATGTTATAACACAAACTAACGGCTTGTCTGACAAAGGTAATTACTAAACCTGTTTGTCCTTGGGTAAGACGGTAAGAATCAACTATTTGTCACCAAAACGTTTCGGCTACATCGCAAGCTGGAGGCAATTGAAAGCTTAACGTTATAGCATATTGACTTGACTTGACTTGACTTCTGCCGAGTCCTGTTGTCCCTGGCCTCGAGTCAACATTGGTCTCGTTTTATCTGGAATTACAAGGTTCTCTTTCTTGTTTCGATCACATAGAACAGCCTGAATCCCATATCATTAATTGCCCACTACGCAAGTTTTTCACCACCCTGTAATGATCTTACATGTACATGGATAATGTACAATCAAACATGTACTAGTGACCACCTCTACATAAGGACCACCTTGTCATTGATATTCAGTCAGACCTGTACTAGTGACCACCGCTACATAAGGACCACCTGGCCATTGATATACAGTCAAACCTGTACTAGCGACCATCTCTACATAAGGACCACCTTGTCATTGATATTCAGTCAGACCTGTACTAGTGACCACCGCTACATAAGGACCGCCTAGTCATTGATATACAGTCAAACTTGCCAGTGACATAAGCATGAAGAATCCTGTCTACATAGACATCGGTCCCCCTGAGCGGTCTTTCTAGGCAGTTCTGGCTGTAGAGGCTGTAGTTATGTTCTACATAAGGGGTACCTGTCTGTAGTTACCGCCTGTGCACACTGAGCAGATTGTATCAGTTTCCTGAGCGAGCGGCCTTCTTGAGCAGTTTGGTACTCTTAGTTCTTACCAAGGTCGGACATGTTCTAAGCACAGCACCTATATCAGAAATGTTGTAAGTGCTGTATCTCTCTGGCTGCCATGTTCCCTCTACATAAGGACCACCAAACTTTTGCCCGATTGACACAAGCATTAAGAATCCTGTCTATAGTGACCACCTGTACACACAGACCAGATAATATCGGTCCCCTAAGCCGTTTTCTTGAGCAGTTTGGTCTTCTTACCAAGGTCGGACATGTCCTAAGCCCAGTACCTGTCTCTCCCTCCCTATCCTATTCCCGTGGGACTGGCGGAACGTGCCCACTCACTGCTTCAGTTCCCACGAGATCTTGAAAGGAGGAGGTGTTTCCGGAAGTAAGACTCGCGTCTCCGAGACCGTCGGACGTTCGCAGACTTCTTACATCGGTTAAGCTGTCCTTCTAGTGTAAGGAAGAGTTTAAGAAGAATATGTTCGTAACGTCGTGTGCGTAAACTGTCGTATGTGGGGTGGGGGTGTCCTTACTTGAACTTTAGACTGTCCCTTTTCTGTCATGTTCTCAATTATTCAGTAACAACTTTCAAATACAGTGACGGTAGCTTGGAATGTTGTTGATGAAGATTTTAGGACTGTGATATTGAACAATTGGCATTTGTTTATTTACTTTTGTATTGAATTATTTATTTCTTGTGGTCCCTTGACCCCAACCCTGACTGGGCCTGTGGGAAAAGAGGACAAGGCCAACAGGGCATACCAGGCAACATAAAGGATATTGATTGATATTTATTGATTGATATTCATTGATTGAACTCCTGAGTCTCTTCACACACGCAAGCACACACACAAAGACACACACACACACACACACACACACACACACACACACACACACACACACACACACACACACACACACACACACACACACACACACACACACACACACACACACACACACACACACACACACACACACATACACACACACACACACACCACCACCACCACCACCACCACCACCAACCACTACAACACTGTTCTAACGTTACTGTTAGTTTCAAAATTGTTTTCCCTATAATTCCAGGTATCTTCAAAATCGAGGACTCGGTGCAGGTGGCCAGACTGTGGGGCATCCGTAAGTCCCGTCCTGCCATGAACTATGACAAGCTGAGCAGGTCCATCCGGCAGTACTACAAGAAGGGCATCATCCGCAAACCAGACCAGGCACAGAGGCTCGTGTATCAGTTCGTCAAGAACTGAGCACTATATTTCGTTTTCGACACGATGAATGTACAATCATGTAACATATTCTGTTATGGAAAAAAAACTTTTATAGGCTGAAGGGGCTTCCCGTGTAGTTGTGTCAAGATGAAATAAATTTAGATAAATTTTGTTACGGGAAATAATTCGACATATAGGGGCAGACGACACTGTTATATACAGAACTGTGCTTCATCCAGAATCGTGCCACATCCAGACCCATAGTCAGACACGGTTCTGAATAGTCCAGACATGTATAGAACCGTGCCCCACGTTTTTACATACGCGTAGACTTTTCAGAAACTCAGCCTAACCGAGTCAGGAATAGAACTAGATAGACGCGGTTCTGGATACACTAAATGTAACATATTTTGTTCTGTGTATACTGGCACATGGGAACTTATAAGGGGCTACCTGTTGTATGAAGAAAAAAAAATAGAATTAAATTGTTAGGGGAAACAATGTGACATACAGGTGCAATCTTACGTAGTCTGTACCATACTCAATGGTTTCTACGGCATTGTTTTAGTTGTTTTGTAGCTTTACGTACGTCCATTGTAGCATACAGACGTCCATGTATTGTTATCATACATACAGTATGAACCCAGAGGCTATTTTGACAATGCTATCCTTAAATCGGCCGCGTAAGGCGGCGTGTTTACAGCTAACTTTCATCTCTTTTCAACTGGAGGCACAATATTTATCATCGTCAGCAGAGCAGGTGCAGAAAATACGCACGCCGCAGACAAGTTTTTTTTTAAAGAGAGTTAAATTGTTATTAAATGTGACGAAAGCACGACGACATTTCTTCTAACAAATGGCTCGTAACCAAAGTAGGAATAGCTTTGTGATTTTTTTTATCAGGACAAAATTTTTTGCAAACCATTTTGCTTTTGTAGTAAATTTTGAATTGTCTATGAGCATTTCTCTTTTGGTACGGATCTAGGGAATAAGGAGGGTTATTTGGAAGCTAAACACTAGTCATCGCGAGACAGGAACACTTCAATTTTGTACCCATGTAACGTTACTATCATGTTTTCTGTGCTTTGTGAAAATGACTTTGTACAGACATCGGTATACATGTATATCAATAACAATGATGAAAGTTCAATTTTGTACCCACACCGTCTGGGTTCTGTGAAAATGACTTGTGTACAGTATATATTCATAACAACGATGAAATATCACAAAGCTGGGCGTGTTTATATTGTAAGGGACATCAAGGTACAGCCGGCGAGAGATATTTGTTTATCCAAGACCATGAAAATGTCGTAGAGTGAAGAATAGCCTCATTGCTATGGCAACAATCGCCCGCCTAGCGTCAGACAGTAGTGTTGGATCGGTGTGTGCGCGTCAGTTCGCTCGGTTGAGTAAAGACGCCAATTACGCGTTGTTTGCGCGGCGGACGCTGTTTGTTGTCGGAAGCGTTTCTGTCTATCAATAAAAGGTCACTTCTTGTATCTAAACAGACCCGGATTTTTTTTCGTCAGGCAAATCTATATTTCTCTCTCGTTCTAACCCTACAAAAATCAGACTCGTTGTGTGAGTGTGTGTGTGTGTGTATGTGTGTGTGAGTGAGTGAGTGTGTGTGTGTGTGTGTGGTATGTGTGCGAGTGTGTGTGTGGGGTTGTGCTGTGTGTGTGCGCGAGAGTGTGTCTGTGTGTGTGACTGTGTGTGTGTGTGGTGTGTGTGCGAGTGTGTGTGTCTGTGTGTGATGTTTGATAAAAATAATTCAATAGGACTGTTTTAAATTCAGGTGTACCACACGTACACATCCGTGTCTAGCGGACATGGGTTAAAACGCAGAATATTTCTTTGCAATTGCAGACCAAGATTTCAAATGTTAGCGTTTGAAATGAAGTCTGAAAACCTGCAACAAGTACACATCAGGGAATAGACGGAACCTTTGGCACTCTCTTCATGCACGCATTGTCGCTAGCTGCGTTGCAGCTTCACACCGGTAGGGGTCGCTCTTGTGCGTGGCTCCAGAAGATTTCATTATGAATGCATGAATGAATGACTGAATGAAAGGTTTATTGATCGAAGAAGTACATTGCAGCTAAAGGATGAATTCCGTACTTATTTTACAAATGGTGCTTAAAAGCAAACGGTTTACAACTAGTACTTGTTTTACAACGCAATTTAACACACTTTAAAGAACTGAGCATTGCATGTAATACAGATCAGCCTAGCTATACAATCTTCTAGCATATTAACCTATACTTCCCACTAAGGCCGTGTCTAAACGGAATCACCCAAGGCGGTTTACATGTGGTTTACCCCGAAGCCGGTTTCAAGTGGCTCACATCGAAAGCGCCTCGAGCCCAAGCCACTTCTAGAGGTGGTTTCGAATCGGTTTCCCCGCATCGCGATTTGCGTCTGAACGCAATGTGATTTCAATGTGACTTCGCCTGGTCATGGATTACGGGGTGATATTTCTTTATTTATATGCAATACCAACTTTTACGTGGCAGCAACTTAAAGAGCAGTAATGGTCAAATAATGTGTCCGTTCTAGGGCGAGCTTCACCGCCTCTGGCGGGACCACGTCGACAGTCGGCCGAGATACGCTGGGAGGGGGGCATCAGCAAGCAGGTCGTTGACCTCTGACATTAATAACACGCCGCCTTGCGTGTTATCATCAAACAGCAGTAAATGTAGCTCAAGCGCATTATGTTCGGACACGGTTTCACAGGTGTGTGTGGCACGTGGACCAGATGTGAGGAATGTGAGTTACCCGAATCGCGGTTTGGGTGATTCCGTATAGACACCTCCTAATTAAGACCAGTGCCCAGCATTGGGCAAACTCGTTGATAACCTAGAACATAGTTGAACATAGTATCTTTAAGTTTATACCTCGGTAAATGCAGTGTTAGCAGTGCTACGCCAGCTGCCCTTCATAATGGGATATTTAGGAACAACTCTCGACCTGTTCGGCACGATCTCAGTCCCTGGAAAGTCCCGTGGCAAGAGGATGAACTCTCTTCTTGGCGGCATCGCGGTAGGGCTGGCACCGGGAGGACCGTCCGTCTGTCCCGGGGCCGCAGAGCCCCTCCCCCCGCCCAGCTCGGACCCATCGCCCGGTGCCCCGCCTGCCGTACAGGAGAAACAGCACCACATCCGTCAGGAACTCCGCTAGCTCGATCACCGTTTAAGAGATGGTTGGTTCAGTGCCTAGCATTGAGCAAGTTGAATTAACTACTGTGCATGTATCCCTAGAACATGGTTACCTAAGAGTAAGACCTTTATACCTCAGTAAATGCAGTGTTAGCAGTGCTGCGCCAGCTGCCCTTCATAATGGGGTATTTAGGAACAACTCTCGACCTGTTCGGCACGATCTCAGTCCCGGGAAACTCCCGTGGCAAGAGGATGACCTCTCTTCTTGGCGGCATCGCGGCTGGGCTGGCGCCGGGAGGCCCGTTCGCATGTCCCGGGGCCGCAGCGCCCCTCTCCGCGCCCAGCTCGGACCCATCGCCCGGTGAATCGGCGGCCCTCCGCCGCCTGCCGTACAGGAGAAACAGCACCACATCCGTCAGGAACTCCGCCAGCTCGATCACAGTCATGATGGAGATCCCCATCCACAGGCCCAGCTGGCCGCCGATGTCGCCGAGCAGGTTCTCTACCTGTTACGGGGGCAGATAGATCAATAAATCAATGATAAATAAATCAATAGATCTATCTACCTATCAATCAATCAATCATCAATCAATCAACCAATCAATCAATCGATCAATCAATCAAGCTATCGATCAATCAATCAACCAATCAATCAATCAAAAAAATCATTGCAGATTATCCATGACATGGAACATCAATCAACCATTAGATTAATAGATCGATTGAGCTATCAAAAATCGATCGAGCGATCAATCAATCAATCAATAAATCAATCAATCAATCAATCAATAGATAAATCAACCAATTTCTCCATGCAGGTTATCTAACTGACATGGAAAATCAATCAATCAATCAATCTATAGGTTAATAGATAGATTAATCTATCAAACAATCGATCAATTAATCAATTCAAATCACATTAGAAATTGATGTGTATGTAACTGTAATCATGTTTTAAGTTATTCTAGGGTTGTTAAGTTATTCAGAAATAATTTGATATGGAATGTACAAAAGCACCAACCGGTTTTTGTGATCTAAGTATTTATATTAAATCTAGATGTGTGAGCATATATAAAGATTATAGCAGTGCCAGTACCCGTACCTCATACGATGGCGTTTCATAAATGTGCTCGATATTCATGTTTTCAAAGTAGACGGTAACCTGGATGAAGCCTTCCCTGCAATAGGGAAGAGAACCCTTACATGTATATCATAGAAGTGTCTGAAGCAGATGCTGATATCAGACTTCCCAAAGATAATCGTCAATTTATATTCCAATTATATTCAATTTCAATATGTTAATCTGTGCTTTGCTTGTCGTATGTATTATGTATTGTCTGGTGGCGACATGAATATAAGTGTAACTTGAGTGTCGTGTCATTATATGTTTCAATAAAAAAGATTATCGTCGGTGAAAGAGATTAAACATATATTATATAAAACGTACAGATCAGAGATTGCACACAACACAGTTAAAATATTACAGATAATTTTGTTATTGAGCAACATGGAAACTCACAGGACAAAGTGGTGGGCAACTCTTTCTTTCTTTCTTTCTTTCTTTCTTTCTTTTTGACTGTTGAGATTAGCAACCTGCTTGAGTTGCCCACCACTGTGTCCTGTAACTTTCTATGTTGCTCAATAGAGAAAAAAAAACAGACAAAACATTTTGCTGAGTCTTTACGATAATTCCGACATTTGCTACAACTCTACCACTACTCTCTGCCAGTAGAGACAGCCACCGCGCCTACTCTGGCATCCTTCAAGGATTAGTTGGCCCACCTACACTAACCACCAAACATTGTACTTCCAAACCAAATACCAAAACACCAACATCTGCAGTTGACTACAATTCCTGTGACCTAACCAGTGCAGCAGATTCATCGGCAAGACGATGTTGGCTGCCTATACAAAAGAAGAAGAAGAAGAGAATATACCTGATCTCCGCAGCGGTCCCGAGGTTCCCGAACCCCGTGCCTTTCTTGTCCTTCATGTCATCAATGAATGTCTCCTGAAGATAGACATATTCACGGAGATGTCATAGAGAATTTCAAATGTCGTTCACAAATAGCCTAATGAACCCCCTACCCCACGAAAGTGCATTTCGATGTTCTCCGTAGTCCCTTAGTCCGCAAATCAAATAGGCACTTAAGATAGGTACGAATAGGTAATTGCCTTCACAATTGGTCTAGCCTAACAAACCACTGCTCTGTTTATTGTTACTCAAACACATTCATATATAATATCTGGTGACCAGCCCTGTCCTGCTACATAATGTAACCCAACACCACAGGCTGTCTGCTACAGTGCTAGTTACCATGGTGACAGACGTCTAGTCCTTGACTTTATACAGTTGGAGAATCAGAAGAAGGGGAAGAAATAAAGCAAAAACAATATGTTTTCCTTCCGCGAACGTAAAGAATTATTTTTCGGGACAACAAAATCAAATGCTTACAGCGTATAATGGAGCTGGCCACTCGCCGAAGCCAACAGTTGACGTAAAGACTGTTTCACTGAACAAAGAAGATCGTAGCGTTAATGTTGTTTGGTGATTAATACATTTACTATTCTGCAAATACATGTATCAGAAAAATTCAACAGATTTTGTACCTCAGAGTAGCAAGCGTAGTCGTAGGAGTATAAGATTTTCCAGACAGTAGTTGTCTGTTGTCCGTTTCCTATTATTGTATTGTACTGTATAGCAAATTTGACTCTGTAAACGCATTCGGGCACGATTTTGCAAAAAGAAACTACGTGTACGTGTCTTTATGAAATATATTGTCTGGTAACGCCAGATCAACTTTAGTCTACCGCAAAGGAATAACCATCATCAGGTTCTAAGGGGGCTGTGGTAAAATTTCAATGGGCATGTTGGCCCAGGCGCTGAGGAGCTGGCCTATTTAGGCTAACCCCAGGCTATCTCTTACGTTTACCTGCAGGCCTCTGGACAGTCGCACTGCAGGGAGCCGTTCAGGTACAGCTTCTTGAAATCAGTCCTGCAGGGATCTAAAACGACAACACGACAAGCACGTAAACAATTATCTCCAACAGTTCTCTATCAATCCGCATTTCTTTATCGATCCGCACACCCACACCTCTCCACTATCTGCTGCTGGAGACACAACAAACAAACAAACAAACAAACAAACAAACAAACAACCCTTACCCCTGGGATGACAGGCCCTCTCGTTGTCCGGTATCCTGATGTAGGGATCCGCACACCCACATCTCTCCACTATCTGCTGCTGAAGGCAGGTTTTCTCACACAACAAACAAACAAACAAACAAAGGAACAAACAAACTTCACCTCTGGGATGACAGGCCCTCTCGTTGTCCGGTATCTTGATGTAGGGATCCGCACACCCACATCTCTCCACTATCTGCTGCTGAAGGCAGGTTTTCTCACACAGTTTGACGGAGTAGGTGTAGATGTCGGGGAACAGTCGGATGTGGCTCCCGTTCTTTAGCCGGTAGAACCCCTTATCTTCCCCGGTCGTACACGGGCCGTACTTCCCTCCTTTACGTTCCAGGAGTGTCTGGGTTTGCGATAGACAAAGTGTGAGAGCCCGAAAAGGCTCGCTTGGTTCTGTCACAGCCATTTTGGAAACTCTACGGCATCAAAATCTTACGACGTCCTATGACAAATGTGAACGTGCATATTTAGTGAGTGAACTAGCTACAAACCATACTTGCCGATAGCCCGGCTGCCATCCATCGTACGTAGTTATATAAGGGAGCCGGCTGTGTAACTATATGGAGGATGGCAACCAGGCTAACTTGCTCACCTGGCTGAGTCCGATGGACACGGTGTACCCCGGTGGAAGAGAGATGCCCTCCTCCCCGGCGAAAGGGTACTGCGTGTACTGGTGAATCAACACCTGTGTGTTGTGTTACACCTGTGGTACTTGTTCCTGTAGTTTCTCACCTGGTTGAGCCCTACCTGGTACCTAGATTCTCACCTGGCTGAACTGAGCCTCATGTGTTTCTTGTGTTAACCCCGTGCTACCTGTAGTTTCTCACCTGGCTGAGCCCGATGGAGACGGTGTACCCCGGCGGGAGAGAGATGCCCTCCTCCCCGGCGAAAGGGTACTGCGTGTACTGGTGGATCAGCATCTGTGTGTTGTGTTACACCTGTGGTACTTGTTCCTGTAGTTTCTCACCTGGTTGAGCCCTACCTGGTACCTAGATTCTCACCTGGCTGAGCCCGATGGAGACGGTGTACCCCGGCGGGAGAGAGATGCCCTCCTCCCCGGCGAAAGGGTACTGCGTGTACCGGTGGTTCAGCAGCCGGGCTTCCATATCCAGAACCGTGCCTGACCCTACCCCGAACCCACCCAGGCATAAAACTAGATAGGCACGGCTGGATACAGTAACTTTATGCTCACCTGGCTTAGCCCGATGGACACGGTGTACCCAGGCGGGAGAGAGATGCCCTCCTCCCCGGCGAAAGGGTACTGCGTGTACTGGTGGATCAGCAGCCGGGCCCCCGCCGCCGTGACACCTGTGTGTTGTGTTACACCTGTGCTACTTGCACCTGTAGTTTCTCACCTGGCTGAGTCCGATAGAGACGGTGTACCCCGGCGGGAGAGAGATGCCCTCCTCCCCGGCGAAAGGGTACTGCGTGTACTGGTGGATCAGCACCTGTGTGTTGTGTTACACCTGTGGTACTTGTTCCTGTAGTTTCTCACCTGGTTGAGCCCTACCTGGTACCTAGATTCTCACCTGGCTGAGCCCGATGGAGACGGTGTACCCCGGCGGGAGAGAGATACCCTCCTCCCCGGCGAAAGGGTACTGCGTGTACTGGTGGTTCAGCAGCCGGGCTCCCATATCCAGAACCGTGCCTGACCCTACCCCGAACCCACCCAGCAGGCATAGAACTAGATAGAGCTGGATCTGGATACGTAAAACACTGCTTCTTCACCTGGCTGAGGCCGATGGACACGGTGTACCCCGGCGGGAGAGAGATGCCCTCCTCCCCGGCGAACGGGTACTGCGTGTGCTGGTGGATCAGCAGCTGTGTGTTGTGTTACACCTGTGGTACTTGTTCCTGTAGTTTCTCACCTGGTTGAGCCCTACTTGGTACCTAGTTTCTCACCTGGCTGAGTCCGATGGACACGGTGTACCCCGGCGGGAGAGAGATGCCCTCCTCCCCGGCGAAAGGGTACTGCGTGTACTGGTGGATCAGCAGCCGGGCGCCCGCAGCGGGGGTCAGGTCGGCAAGGTACTCGTCTGGGTCCAGAAACAGCGTCAGCTGCAGACCTGCGATAACCAAGTGTTTTCAACCTCAACTCAGGTCTTATAAACCCACTAATTATGCAGAATGTAGGACTATTCATTATCCACTGCCTTCAAAGAAGAAGTCGAACCCCATAATAGCTAGCGTAGTAGTAGTAGTAGAAGTAGAAAGTTTTCCAGACAGTTGTTACCTGTCTCCTGTTACTGTATTGCAATGAGTATTATACTTGATTGTAAAAGCAATTAGCCTTCAGGCATGATTTTGCGAATAAAGTTTCTTTCTATAAAGGGTGCCTTTCAATTTGAAAGAAAATCAAACAAGAAGCCGTAGATATCAGACTTACACACAATTCTGAGACTTTCACATTCACTAGTACTCATTTCCTGTTTCTGACCTTTTTGTCGCCTTTTGTTCTGCCTTGCCTGTCAATCTTCCTTACATCAACGTGCTATCAACTTAGTTTGTCTGAACACACACAAAAATACAGCTCATTCGCCCATATGTTCATCAACCCAAATGCTCAGGCTCAGCCACAATACTTCCGTCTCTACCGAAGCGGTTTTGTCCTGAGGTGGCCGGCAAAAGAACGCCTTATAACAATTCTACAAAACGCAGTATTGAATGTAAACGCCCATCCGCTCGGAAGCCTACACAGGAAGCTAATTCATGTGACACTCACCGTGTAGCGGTCCTGGCTGTTTGGCCGTCCAGAAGGCACCTCCCCTGGTCCGGCCGCTGTTGAAGATGAAACAGTTGCCGTACGTCTCGTCCAGGATCGTCGCGAAATCCCTGCAACAAAGGAAAACATTATCATAATTATTATACTCTCTTACCTAGAACATTCTGAACAATTGCCAGCAAACTATGGCAATCACTCGTGATCTTTATTTGCAATCAGATACAGATTCATGTACAGATACATAGTCATGCACAGATACAGATTCATGTACAGATATACAGACTTTCCGAGTATGATGACCGTGTCAGTCCCTACACCTGAGTGAGGGTCACAGTTGACACGGTAGCCTTCGCGTGGATTTGTTTAAGGTGGATAACAGGTTGCGAATCTGAGACCCACACACTTGGGCATCCGTCTTCCCCAGCGGATCCATCGAGGGAGACGTGCTGGTTCCGGTTCGGGTGCTTGCAGCGAGCTGCCGGTGACTTGGTTACGCTCAAGTTCCGCCTTGACTACGCCAGCCCGCCTGGCGCTGCTCTCGTCCGCCAGCTGAAGACAACTGCCGTTGGAGACTTGACCCTCTAGTTGAGGGGGGATACGTGTAAAGTGCCTTTCCCAAGGGCACAACGTCGGTGCGCATGTTCGGACATGCCCCCGTGCTCCGACCCAGGTTCGAACCCGGGGCTCCTTTGTTGAGCGCCGAACGCTCTATCCACTACGCCACACGACGCCACATTGCCAGCAAACTAGCGAAGTGGAAAATGGGGAGCGTGCTACGGTGCTAAAGTGTGATGTTCAACGTTTTGACAAATGTTTAGATACACTATGAGACGACATAAAGTACATGGTTATACGATATAGTGCCCTCTCAATTTTACTCATGGCTATGGTGGAAAATACACGACCGATTCCTTTACAGGCAAAGGAACAATCAGCTTCCACCGAGAGGACTTTAAACATAAAGCACCCGTTTTGACACCGATACTCTATTGGTGTCTGGGTTAGGAAGCAGGAATAAGGTTAAGGCTGCTGCAGTAACATTTGTATGGCGTCAGAAGTCATCTATTATTGATGTTCCGTCAACACCGATACATCAGACTTCTGCTTCAGTACACCCTGCCAGATGCCACAACCACTCACATAATGAAAGAAAGTCAAGTCATGCGTTATATTTGTTTTAGACTGTACTTTTTATGTTTATGTCCTTGACATCTTGTTAGGTGGAATGTGGTCTTGTTAGGGTTTTTGGCTAAGAATCGAAGGTTTTGAGTTCGAATCCACCAATGTTATGAAAGGCCAATCATACTTTACACCAATTTCCTCATTCGGCTCATGAGTGAAAATGGGTTTCTTCTATCTTCGACAAGGGACATACTCTCAGAGGGGACATTAAGCCGGAGGGAGTCTCTGTGTTTAAAGAGAATCACACCTCAAGCACGTTTAAGATCCTACCGAACTTATCGAAAAGAGTCAGGGTCCATACCGGTGTAAATTGATCAAACCTTGCAGTCCTATCTTACGCAAACTGGTGGGTTACACCTAAAGGTGGTTTACCTATTATGTGAAACAAACAAACAAACTAACTAACTAACTAACAAACAAACAAACAAACAAAGCCTTACTCTTCCGGTGTGCAGACCCGGCCGTTGAACGTACAGTCCTGTATGAAGTCGTTCTTGTCGTGGCCCATCTGGTGCCTGACGGTCGTGTTGAGGCTCGCCAGGAGCGCAGAGAAGTTCTGGGCCTTCTCATAGCTGGGAGACAGGGGCAGGCTTTCCTCATCTACCGCCAGGATCTCACCGGCAGGCGGCTTCGGGTCGGACACCTGCATTAGTCAGGGGATTGGTATGCTCTTACAGCCAAAACAACACAAGAAGTTCACTCATTGGACCGGTAAAATCGTGGTCCTACATGTTACAGGGAATCACAGCATGTTTTCTTTACAAAAACAGCCCAAGGAGACCACACAGGGGAACAGGTGGTCGCAATAGACAGGATTCTTAATGCTTGGTTCAATGGAAAAATTATCTGAGGAATAATCAAAGAGTTTGACTATTTTAATAATACAGCAAACAAACTAGGTAGGCAAGATAAAGTAGCGACCTTGTACACTATAAACTTAGATTATAATTTTGAATTAGCTGCTTATCTTCATATAAGTTGAATGTACTTACGTCAGGAGCAGTTGTTATTGAGAAAGGTTTTGTTGTTTCCCTTGTACTAGGCCTTGCAGTCTTATCCTCCGACTTGTTAGGTACCTTTGAGGAAGCGTCCACTACTCCAGAAGAAGTCGGTTTGGTAGAGGTGCCAGTTGCCTGCCGTGTGTCTTCTGATGTTGGGGATTTATTTGTTCTGGGTGACGTGTTTGATGAAGCAGTAGTCACTGTCGACAATGTCATTCCCCCAGTGAGTTCTTGTAAAGTGTCCATGGTCGCTGTGGTCATTGTGGATGCAGTGGCCTGCTCATCGTCAGTCTTTGACACAACTTCCGGTGTCATAGTGGACTGTTTTGAATTGTCTGACGTTAAGGTAGTTTGTGATGACGTGCCTGACGTCATGGTGGTTCGTGATGACGTGTCTGACGTCAGGGTAGTTTGTGATGACGTGTATGACGTCAAGGTAGTTTTTGATGACGTGACTGACGATAAGGTGGGTTGTGCCGATGTGTCCCATGGCGCGTTTTCCTCCCTTGACGGACTTGACGCCGTTGTGGTCTGTGGTGCATAACGTGATGGCAAATCAGTACCATGGAAAGTGCTTGATTCCATCGTATTTCCGGAGGAAATTTCCGTCGATGTAGCAGTAGTAGTGGTCTCCTGTGACGTTCTTGTCATGCTTCTACCAGGAAGAGAGGACACAGTGTTCTCTTCGGACATGGTTGACGTCGTTACAGGCAATGTGGAGTCATAAGACGACAAAGTTGTACTCTGTGGCGTGTCTAATGTTACTGTGCTCTCTCGCGACATGTCTGATGTAGGTTTATTGTCTGTCGTTGAGGTGGTTTCTGTTGAAGTGTGCATTGTCCGAGTGGTCACTCTTGACCTATTAGGTGTTGTTGTATTCAGGGACGTAAACGTATTTTGCGATATACTGGACGTAGCTTCCGTAGTCGATGGCAGTGTGTTCAATGCCATCGTGGTCCCAAGGGATGTCGTTGTGTTTGTGTTTTCCGATGAAGCGCCAGATGTTATCACAGTTGTGTTTTGTGTCAAGGTTGGTGTAACACTGGTGTCAGGTGTCGATGTATTAGATGGCACTGAAGTCTCTCGCCCAATGGTTGTTGACATTACAGGTACCGATGTGCTGTACGATGGCGAAGTGCTTCCCGGTGGCATATCAGAAGTACTGATTGCCTCCCATGTCGTGTTTGGTGCCTCGGTGCTTGTTGAAGAAGCCTCCCATTCTGTGACCCAAGTCACTTCTGTGCCCGATGTCACTATGGTGTCAGGTGTTGAGGTGTTTCCTACCACAGTGGAATCTTGTGGTGTGGTCGACGCCACTACGCTTACTGAAGTGTTCCATAGTACACTGGTCATGTTTGGTGATGAAGAACCGACCCAAGTTGCATTCCCCTCTGAAATATTTGATGGTAAACTGTTTCTTGTTGATGTTAGTACGGTGGTCTCTCGTAGCGTGCCTGATGCCATTGTGGTTGCTGTAGTGGTCCATTGAACACTGGTCTCTGATGAAGAGTTGGATGCTGCTGTGGCGTTTGTTGAAGTGTCTCCTGCTACGGTTGTCTCTTGTGGAGTATCTGACGATACGGGGTTTGTTGATGAAGTTTCCCAAGTTACTGTGGTCCCCTGCGACGTATTCGGTTGTACGGTGTTTGCTGAAGCGGTCCATTGTACAGTAGTTTCTTGTGGCATGTTTGATGGCACAGTGTTTGACGATGAAGCCTTCAAACTAACTGTGGTCCCTTGTGGTAATCTTGATGGCGATGTGTTTGCTATTGAAGTATTCCATGTCCCACCTGTCTGTCGTGACACGTTTGTTGTTAATTGAGGCATTGTTGTATTGTACAATTGCGAAGTGGTACCGGCGAGGTCGTCCGATGTCGCAGTGGTCCCTTGGGACGTGTTTGGTGGCACCGTGTCCTGTGATGAAGCGTCCCATCTTACGCTGCTTACCGATGGTATGGTTGTCACGGTAGGATATGATGAAGTGGTCAGTGTTCCTGACACCGCGTTTGATACTGTTGTTTCCGCGCTTGATCTTCCCAGGGCATCAGTTGGCATCTCTGTGATACTGTCTGCAGTGCTACTGTGTGTTGTCGGAGCAGTCCCCATCATAGTGTTCGACGGCAGTGTAGTCTGCTCTGGTGCAGTACTCCGCGAACCCCTGGTTTCTGTTGCAGTGCCGGTCGTATCCTGATCCGTAGCAGTGGTCCCAGGGTCTGGTGTCCCTGTTGTGACAACAGGTGCATTGCTTGTAGGTGCTGAAGTCACCACCGATATTGTTGTTGTTGTTGTCATCTCCTCCATTCGGCTGACCGAATGTTCTTCCAGCGTCGTAGTTAGCGTAGTTTCACTTCCTGTGGGCGATGTTGTCGTGTCATGTTCGTAGTCTGAAGGAGATACAGATTCTTTTGATGTCGATGCGCCACTTGTTACTCTTGTGGTGCCTGATACATCGATTGTACTTCCTCTTGAAGGCGTTATATTGGTACTTGAACCTGTAGTACTACCCGAGGGCCCCGATACTGTTGTAGTACCCGAGGGACCTGACACTGTTGCAGTAGCCGAGAGCTCTGAGACTGTTGTACTACCCGAGGGCTCTGATAATGTTGTACTATCCGAGGGCCCTGATACTGTTGTAGTGCCCGAGGGCCCTGATACTGTTGTAGTACCCGAGGGCCCTGATACCGTTGTAGTACCAGAGGGCCCTGATGCTGTTGTAGTACCCGAGGGCTCTGATACTGTTGTACTATCCGAGGGCCCTGATGCTGTTGTAGTACCCGAGGGCTCTGATACTGTTATAGTACCCAAGGGTTCTGATACTTTTGTACTACCCGAGGGCCTTGATACTGTTGTATTACCCGAGGGCTCTGATACTTTTGTACTACCCGAGGGCCTTGATACTGTTGTATTACCCGAGGGCCCTGGTACTGTTGTAGAACCCGAGGTCTCTGACACTGTTGAACTACCCGAGGGCCCTGACACTGTTGTAGTAGCCGAGAGTTCTGATTCTGTTGTAGTACCCGAAGCCACCGATACACCGTTTGTACTTGCTATTGAAGCGGCTGTACTATTTGATGCATCTGATAGAACACTTGTACTTAATCCTGTTGTAGTACTAGAGGGTTCTGGAGATGTAGAACCGTCTGTTGCCATTGGCGCCTCAGATACAACATTTGTACTTGCTAGTGAAGAAGCTGTTGTAGTATCTGATGCCTCTGATACAATATCTGTACTTCTTATTGAACCTGTTGTAGTACCAAAAGGTTCTGGAGATGTAGATGGATTGTTGTCTCCTTCCCTCCTCTTTCTCCTCTTCTCTTGCGGCGCGACGACGTCTTCAGATTCAGATCTGGAGAGGTTGAGTTTGGAGCGTCTGACGGCGTTGAGGTTACAGACGGCAACGGCAGGAAACGTCACCTCGGGTTCGAACAGGATCTCCACGTTCGTGACCACCGGGTAGCTGAAGTACTTCACCATCAGGCCGTGGAACTGGAAGATGAAGTACGCACAGGCCCCGAGGAACAACAGCGACCACATCACCCGGCGGACCTGTGGATGGAACAGAGCAGAATTGATGTTAATCTTCGAGTAACCGGTGCAATGGCCAAGTGGGTAGAGTGTTCACCTTGCACTAGGTAGGTCGAGAGTTCGAAGGAGATACAGGTTCTTTTGATGTCGATCCCTGGTCGAGTCATACCAAAGAATTTTAAAATGGAACATACTGATTTCTCTGCTTAGCACTCAGCATTTTGGAAAAAGTATGGTACTTAAAACTGCTGTAGTAATTGCACTGCTGTGTGGCCCTGGGCTATTGAAAACGGAGATGGGCGCGCCGCCCTGTGCGTCACTTTTTCGAGTCATGCCTGAACTACAGTACGTGTTGGCTTTCAAACTTGAGTGGTCAATTGCACCACACCACAGGTTTAGAGAGCTTTACCACATCGATGTTCCGTGTACATGGACATTGTTTTGCGGGTTTGTACGTCACTTGTATGGTGACAAGGGCACGTTCAACAGATTGGAATATGGAAAAAGGAAAATGATCTCTATCCAGTTTTAGCGCACAGAAGAGCGAATCTGACGCACTGGTCGTGACAGAGAAGACAGACGCTATGTACAGTATTTACAGGTTCATTGTACCGGAGAAATTCTCCTAGCTCTTCTCGACATGCACAATGAACAGCGGGCCACGGCTTAACGTCCCACCCTAAGGACTGCGTCACGGTTTGTTACCGTACCTAAGATATATGAACATGTGCTTGCTTATCTAAGTTCCTATGCTCTAACTTTTTCATTTCCCTGTGGTACATAATCTGAAGTAGGCGGAAAAAGAGATAGCCAAACATTTGTCACGTTTCCCAATCAACTGTTGCTTCTTAATGACATTGGTACGTGTCCCTTTCCAGTGAGCATGAGTTGATGTCTTGAGATGTCACTTGCACCCACCACAGGTTTAGATAGCTTTACCACATCGATGTTCCGTGTACATGTCACTTGTATGGCGACGAGGTCACGTTCAACAGGTTGAAATAGGGAAGAAAGGAAAATGATCTCTATTCAGTTTTAGCGCACAGAAGAGCGAATCTGACCCACTGGTCGTGACAGAGAAGACAGACGCTATGTACAGTATTTACAGGTTCATTGTACCGGAGAAATTCTCCTAGCTCCTCTCGACATGCACAATGAACAGTGGGCCACGGCTTAACGTCCCACCCTAAGGACTGCGACCGTTTACAGTGTGCATGACTTGATGCCTAGAGATGTGATGCTAATCTTACAAGACAAGTACACACAAGACTGAACTACAACAAGTGTTAGCTTTCAAGCGTAAGTTGCTGTGTCGTTTACATAACAGGTTTAGAGAGCTTTACAATGTCGGTGTTCCGTGTACATGGGCATCATTTTGCGGGTGTGCTACTTCTATTGCCGACAAGGCCACGCTGAGCAGTTTATGAATTGTGAATAATGTTTCAACCTTACCTACATTGTTATATTTAAAGTATGTGCATATATATATATATATATACTACTACTATATATATATATATATATATATATATATATATATATATATATATATATATATATATATATATATATATATATATATATATAGTTTCATTTTAGTGTCTATTGGATGAGACAACTTGTAAAGGCAATCTTCACTACCTGTTTCGCCTACACCTCAATTGTCATATATGGAACAAACAAACAAACAAACAAACGAACCATGGATGTAGCCGTGCTGGTCCGGGGGATGCCGTGCGCGGAGGAGTTCTCGCGAAAGTTCTTCCACAGCCCGCCCAGAGAGGAGGTGTTGCCGTCGTCGTCCGCCATCTTTCACACGTCTCGTACCTGCTACGTACACGTCAGGTAACTGATACCACCTGTACGTCTCTCAGCTCAGGTGAAACGTTGTTGTTTTAAGGCAAGTTCCACACTTCCACAACAAAATGTGACGAACCGGTCTCAGTTTTCGGCATGAACACTCGCGTCGATCCAGATCGGAAGAATATACATTTTTTTTGTAACCGAAGAGAAAAAAATATCCTGATACGTACACGCCAGGTAACTAATACCACCTGTGCGTATGTCTGTCTGCTCTAGTACGACGCTGTTACGCCAAGTTCACTTCCACCAAAAAACGCGACGGACCGGTCTCAATTTTTGGCGGGAACTCTCGCGCGTAGGTTTTCTTCCTTCGATCCCGGTTGAAAGAAAGATGTATGTTTTTGTGACCGGAGAGAAACAAGAGATCCTGACACTGTGCACCACACACACACACTCGAGTACACAGTTATCAGAAGTGGGATTGGAAACTATCAAACACGTAATGATGGGGTTGGGCTATGAATATTTTATCACGGAGTACAAAAGATGCTAAATGACTCTCGTGTAATTGTGTTCACCCCAACACCTTTTGTTTCACGGTTGGTTGGTTCGTATCCACTGACATCACATGTAGTAGATGATACGAGTAGATGTTGTAGCATTCAACAACCCTTTCTGGTGTATTAGTATAGCTTAGGATAGTCACAGGTAGAAACCTAGCCTTCAGCAGTCCTTTCAAAGGGCCTGTGGATAGTGAAATTCTGCACCTAGCCTCCACCAGACCTTCCTATGGGGTTATGGATAGTACTAGTCGGTGCCTAGCCACTAGGCTTTCTTAATAAGGAGTTTTGGACAGTAAAGTTCTCTTCATACCCTCCACCAGGCCTTCCTAAGGGCTTGAGGATCGTAGAATTCGCAAAAAAAAAAACGGTGAAAAATTGGCCAGAGGAGTGACGAAGCCCTAAGAGTACGATTCCCCCTTACTACACATGAAATTGATACCCGATAGTAGTCAAACGTCCCTGACAAATTATTATCTCTATCTGACTAAATTTTACAACCAGCGTGGATATGGCCAGGTGCCATCGTAAACGCCATAGTTTATACGGGCTGGTTTAGACATTTCATATCACCTGTTGTGTATTAATAGCATAAGATTGGTCCCCACCTATCATGCCTATCGTCAGGGGATCGTAACACAAACAGTGACTCAGAGATAGATATCAGTCGTGTATTCATACATTTATAGGGAACGCCCTTTTCCCATTACATTAATATTGTTGTCATTGATTGTCATTGATATGTTTTACGAGTTTGCTCAATGCAAGGCCAATAGACCGCTTCTGGGCACTAAAAATACGTTATTGGAACGTATGAGCGACTATATTCGCTAGTAGAAGAAAACTGTGAACGTTGGTTTTGAAGCTGGTGTGTTGTATTCGGGAGGGAAACCAGATGCCATACGCCATAGTTGTGTCTAGGCAATTTCCATGTACTTACTACAAGGTGACCAATAATAATCTGTCAAAGCTTTAGGATCAGGACCACATCTGACATGAGGATGTGCCAACTTAGTCTCCACCAGACTCAACTAACAACGTGGGTTAAAAAAAAGTAAAATTTAGCCAATAGGGAGAATTGACTAGAGGAGTTTAGCCAGCATAGAGTTCATTTTCCCGCTTCAGAGGGGGGAAATTAACCCTCTTGCGGACTGACTCTCCTAGCCAACTGTGTCCTTTTTTTTTACCGAATTCTAGGATCCGTACCCCCATAGGAGGTTAGTCCCTACTAGGTCGCAAATAGAGTTCCACTTACTAGATAGTCTTAGGATCAACCCTATAAATAAGTTAGCCTAGTCCATTGGAGATACCCACACCATCATTTGTCTGCGAAATGTACACTTACCTCATACGAAGTGATCAATTGTAATCTGTTTAGCCCTGACTGACCTCATGCCCCTACTGTACTTGGTCGCAAAGAGTTCCACTGTACGATAGTCGTAGAATCTACCCTAGATAGGTTAACCTCGACCGTCGGAGATACCCACGCCGTAATTCAGTGTCTGGGCAAATTCGCAATGCACATGTATTTCCAACAAACTGATCAATAGTAATCTGTTTAAGCTTGGCGGACCCCATGACGGTTTGATGTACTGGTGACATATGGCGGTGATCAATGATGAGATTGCCGGTTTTGAGCCAGATCCTTGAGCTGACACATACGTTAGAGGTCAGGTGTTTAGGGCTAGGGATAGGGTTATGGTTAAAGTTGGGATCATTGTTCAGGGTCAGGGTTAGGGTTAGACTTACGATCGGAGTTAGGTTAGGTTAGGTTTAGTCTCCCACATCACGACTAAACCCCTCCCACCCCTTGTCTCAGGTATACTGGAACCCTCCCCCCCCCCCAAGCATTATCGGAGTCATGTATTCGGCAGGACCATTATTAAATCATGATCATGACTTGACGCCGGAGTAGATGAAGAGGTTCAGAGGTTAGGCAGTCTGGTTAGCCGTCAGAAGGAATCACGATATGCGTTTGTCAAACCGCCGATGATTTTAGAGATAAGGGAGCGTTGTACCAGACTCCTTACCAGGCTCCACAAGTCAGGCTTTAAAACGTGCTTGTATTTCTGATGGCATATGCTCTAGCCTCCTTCGCAGACTTCTGAAGCGTTGGCGTTAATGTTTTTTCGGGGCACCACGCGAGTTATACCGCGAGGACAGTTTTGCCGCCGAGGGATTTTGCCGGGAGAGACGGTTTCTCCATATCTTGATTATGCTCCCGGTTCGGACATATACATAAAGCCTACTTCTGTATCTATTCTACTCCACGATGGTCAATCAATCAACCAATCAATCAATCAATCAATCAATCAATCAATCAATAGATCAATTATCGTCTTTATTCAGTTGCTTCTGTACTGTTTGCCGTGATGTCTTATGTGTATTTGATACTGTTTGGTTGTCAGGTATTTACATCCTTTGAAACACCTATCAAGAGCGGTCGGACTAATTAAACCTACCAAATCACAGGAAGTCTGTCCTTTAAAAGGTGAAAACGGACACCAGGCATCACCTGGAGGGTCCAGGACGGCCAAATGTTGTGCCGCGGATTCGTGAAGTACATTTAAAGTGGTGGCGCACTTTTGACTTAAAAATGAACGCAAGCCCTGACATAAACAACAAGCGCATACATTTACATTCACACAGAATAGAACATGAGTATAACGTAACAAAGGAACAGATGAAGCAGTATAACAGTATGATTTGGAAGCTCCAGCCCAGCCCCACCCACAAAGTTCCCGCTGTTGGAGTCCGTGTCGGTGTAGCTGACTGTGGTGCCAGGCTCCTCCGTAGGGACACAGTTAAACTCGGACAGACTGACGTTCACTATGGGGAAGTGTTTGAGGGCCGGAGGAGAGGCGCATCTCGGTGTTCTGTAGGTCACATTTGTGTCCTGCATCCAGCTCCAGAGCTCCACTAGGCTGCAGGGGGAAAAGTATATAATTTGTAAACTTCGCCAGAAGGGTATATTTTCGGTTTGGCAATGGTGGAGAAGCTGTGTATGTGGTGTGGGTATGTATGTCTGTCCACAGTATAACTAAAAAAGCTGTCAATGGATCTTCATGATATTTAGTAGGTAAGAATCGGTTGTAGAAATGAAGGTCAAGTTCGAAAATGGTTCAGCTGGTGTTTTCCCATGGCACTGCATTTGTTGTTTATGTGTGTACAGTATAACCCGAGAAGCTGTGAATGGATATCAATGATATTTGGTTGGTGAGTTGCGGTGATGTCATAAAAGCAAAGGTCCTCATGAAAGTACAGGCAATTGTTGAGAGTGTAAGCAAGTTCCATATAACCTCTCACACCTACCCGCAGTTACAGTTCCAAGGGTTGGAAGTCAGGCGGACTTTCGTCAGGCCGGGGAGCGCCTGGAACAGACCGGGGTGGATCCGCGACAGGTTGTTGTTGTTCAGCGTCAGGGAGTCCAGCCTGGTCAGACCGGAGAAGGTCTGCGGCGACACTTCCGACAACTTGTTCCAGTCCAGCCACAGAATCCGCAGGTTGACAAGATGGCGGAACGCGCCGTCTTCTATCCTGCCGATCCTGTTGATGAAGAGTTCCAGCTGTTTCAGGTTTTCCAAACCCTCCAGCATGCCGGTTGTGATGATTTTTAGCCGATTGCTTCGCAGACTGAGCGTGGAAAGCTTCTCCAGCGGCCGGAAGGCTCCGTTTGTGATCTTGACGATGCTGTTCTGCTCTAATCGCAGGTTATCCAGAACCTCTAACCCAACGAAAGTCTTCGGCTTGATGTTAGTCAAGCGGTTGTTGTTGAGATTCAGAAAGGATAACTTCACCAGGTGGCGAAAGGAGTTGCTCCTGATGATGCTGATGTTGTTGTAGCTCATGTCGAGGTTCTCCAGGTTGTGGAGCCCCACGAACATGCCCGAGTTGACCACGACCATGTCGTTGTCGGACAGATCCAGGTTCTCAATGCTGGACAGATCGTTGAAGGCTCCGTCGTCGATGTTACGGATCATGTTGGACGACAGAATCAGCCGCTTCAGCGACTTTAGTCCAGCGAACATGCCGGAGCGAATGACAGACATGCGGTTGTTTTGCACGTCGAGATACGTCAGAAGAGAAAGAGGGCTGAAAGCTCCGTACGCGATCCGTGTGATGTGGTTAGCAGTGAAATATAGCTGCGTCAGGCTGCCCAGAGGCAGGAAATCTCCGCTAGTAACCTCGGATATCTTGTTGGAGTCCAGGAACAGTTTTCTCGTGCTGAAGGGGATGGAGTGAGGGACTCTCGTCAGGCTCTTCGCCTCGCAGTGGACGGCGGCGGTGTCCTCCAGGCATCGGCAGGGCGCGGGGCAGGCCTGGGCAGCTGGATGGTGACGGGTCAGGTGCAGGAGAACAGCAGACAGCACAACTGTCGCCAGCATCGCTGCAGGTTTGGGTGCCTGGGGATGCAACAATAGCAGGTAAAGCGTGAGGCTATATAAAAAAACAGTATATCCCGAAGGCTGATTGCAAGTAACGGGCCTGGGCAGCAGGGTGGTGCCGGGTTAGGTGCAGTAGAATAGCGGACAGCACAACTGTCGCTGCAGTTCTGGTTGCCTGAGGATATAACAATAGAAGGTTAAGAGTGAGGCTGTTGAACCAGAATTGAGTGCTAGATGACGCTCGTGAACTTTCATGATGAAGTTCATTATATTCCGAAGGCTAAGTGTAAATAACATTAAAGAGAGCTACTTGAGTTTTCCATCCGTGAATAGTTTCATCAGGTTGGTAAGACACTGAGTAAAGAGACACAATCAAGTCTTTTACTCAGCCGACGTTTCGGTGACCGTCTGTCACCTTCCTCAGGGCAATTCTGACTGGCTCACATCGCTGAGTGGTTCACATCTACTTGAGTTTTGTTGAGAAATAATAATCCAGTCGGATTCTACGCTCGAGCAATGTTGTGTCGACTGAGAATTTTCCCAAGAGAGCGAAGTTTTGGACAGGCGCCCATCTTCTACTCCAGTTCCTCGTCGTTGGATTGAAAAGGTCAGACGACGAGCCATGTATCAATTTGGCAGCTTAGTCCCGATCAATGGAAAGAACTTCTTCCGTATGAATTATTCACACATTCTCCCTAACTGGTCCCAATTATCGCATGCTTAATTGTCTTCTCCTTAACATAACCAGATTTGCCTTTGTTCCATTCCCATATTTGACTTCACACGTAGGAGGTTTTGCACGACTGGGGTCAACGCGAGGTTAGCGGTGAACTTGAGATTGCATCATTTGGTTCGGTGCCATGTTCAACGTTTTTACTAGTACACAATCAAACCTGTACAAGTACGTAACCGCCTGCTGGCCACTGTTACCACTTTTAGATGGTCCCTTAGATAGATAATCTTTCCCTTTGACACAGTCATTAAGAATCCTGTCCATTGTGACCACCTGCCTACATAGATCATGCTTTCTTGATCCCTCTCAGTGGTCTTCTTGAGCAGATTTGACTCTAACTGGACATGTTAGAACGGTTGGAACGACGTGCCAATGTTGGAAAACGATGGTTTTCCCCAATTTTTCTATACCTTTTGAGTTTAAGATACTTCGCTGCTCAGTTAAGGACTCTCTATGTTGTACAATAGCCGTTGATTATATGATCTTATATTAGTTATGATTCCATTATTATGTGCAACTCCTTTGGCCAAGCTAGCTTGTTTTCGAGAACGGCTTTTCTTTACTTTGGCGTGTGCATGTGGCGCAACGGTTAGAGCGTTGGACTCGGGACCAAGAGGTCCCGGGTTCGATACTCACCATGCGTTGTGCCCTTAGGAAAGGCACTTAACACGACTTCCCTCCCTGCACGGTGGAGTGACGCCCACCGAGCTTCTTAGGCCAATCTGTCTAAATGTGTGCCAAAAACACACTACGGATTTGGTGCGCCAGTGTGCCAGCATCTGCACCAAGAGCCGTAATTTTTTTGTTCTTTACAATTAAAAACGTCTGTCGTCAACTTTAAGTGCCCTGCGTTAATTTATGAGGCTATCTGGTTTACTTGAAAGCGTGGTGAGATTTATGTACTCCTTTTTCGAGTACTTAAAATCTGTAAGATAAGGTGAAAAATGGTGCAAATATCCCACCGTATTTGGATCGGCTATTCGCATGTTTGTCTCTAGAGGTGTAATATGACATCAAACAAAAATTATTGTTTACAACAATTTTTGTTGCGAATGGCTGTTTACAACGTGATACATACTTGAACGCTGAATATTCCACCTATGATCGTAAAAGAACATGTCATGCTGATCACATACTACATAGTTCTTTTGTAAGGTTGAATGGTCTCATAGTGTGGTTGTTGTTGTGTACATATTGTTTCGATCTTAGAGAACACATGTTAGAGAATAATTAAACCTTTATTGTTACATCATACATATAATCATGTATTTAGCTTTGTTAGATCTTTAGTTAAGTTGTAGAAGACCATACAAAAGTCCCTGTACTTTTTTGTTGTGTCAATAAAGAATCATAATACCTTGTACAATTGTCGTGCAATAACGTTTTACGTATTTTCCAGACCGATTTAAGATGTTTAACGCGCCAGACAGCCTGCTGTTATCTACACTTGCGGAAGATTGACGACCAAAGACGTTCAGATAACGTCACATCAGATACGGAACGACACCGATTTAAAGCTGTCATTTCTTATCTGTAAACTGCAGACATCTACACATCACATGTGCCTTGTATAAGGCAGTGGAAACACTAACGGGGATCCTAATAAAACAAACAAACAAACACAAAAAAGCAGCTACTCAGGCGACTGGATATGATTTTGGAAACGGTCAGACGTTTCAGCTAGTATCCACTAACTTTCGTCAGTGACTGAGAGACCAGAGGAGAATTGCAGGTTTATAAGCACAAACAAACAAACAAACAAACAAACAAACGAACAAACAAACAAACAAACAGGACAATCTCTGTCAGCAAGGAGATTCTGAATCTACTTTAAATAGTGCCAGTAAATACAGATGGGCAGATGACCTATAAACATTCCTGGTCAAGAAATACTCACATAATGTAATCTTGCCTTTAAGGTTGAGAAATCTGTAATAAAACTACAATATCGCCATTCTACAATGTACTTGCAAGGCTAAGGCCCTCTTTCCAACATTGGAAAGCGATCGCTGAGCAAAATTTGTTGCGCGACGTGTCAAATTTTGGTCCTTCAGTGGCCACAGCCTCCCTCCAGTAGAAAACGTGTTAGCAAGGCTAGGATGGACTGATAAAAGAATAATTGTAACTAATGGTAGACTGTACCTTTATAGCTATCATAGCACAAATACAGAAGAAAATACTCACCCGTAGGCCTGAAACTGCTCAGAAGCTCATCCTGACGAAGACAGTCCGTTCCCGAGGTGGCTGCAACACGAAACCGACAACTCGGGAGGAATACCGTTTGCCGACCGATACATCAGCTGTGGGTGGATCTAAGATCCAAAGGAAGACTCCAGGCGGTTGATTTGGTGTCTTGTCGCCTTTCTCTGACAGAGCACTCGCCCGACTGAGGCTGGCAAAGTCTTGCCAAGCGCCTTAGCTGCGCGATCGGCGATCTAAACTCGATTACGCCCAGATTTGTCCCCACCTCCTTGGCGCTTTAATTTGATACGGTTCTGTGGTCTTCTCTTTTTCTTCAAGTGTGCGCATAAATTTCGTAGCGTGGATTCCTGACTTTTCGGTACATTAAGAGAATTGACAAGCGTTGCTAGAAAGTCATGGACAGTCATTAACCATAAGTACACTCCTATTTTGCAATGACTTTTTCCGGCAAACCCTCAAATTTGCAGCCTGATACAACAACATAGTATTGGACTGATCCGCTTCTTAACGCAGACACTGCTCTAGGTGGGAAGTTACCAAAGCCCTTGACTGCTGCGCCTTAAACGATGATAAATGAGGGTCTGGAAGAGGCTCAAGTCGTAAAATATTCATGCATCCCGCACACAGTAATGCGATTAGGAATTTATGGACTTGAAAAATATCCAAGGACTCGCCACATTTCTTCTGTCACAGGGTGTCGCAAAAGTAGTCCTGTATTAGTTATCCGTGTTTGCTACTAAAATCATTAATTATGTAGTTATAGAATAAGGAATTTACTAATACGCAGAAAATAGAATGGTAATAATCTCCTTACAATAACGAATGGGTCGGCAAGAATGCAACTTGTGCCAGGCTGAGCGCATTTTTCTTGCATCGCTGCTTGACACAAGGTTGATGAAGTACATGACATTGAAGTACATTTACATTGTACGTACATGTAATGCTGCAGCGTCTGTGACCCCACTGGCTTTTCTGGCCTTAGGACCCTTGACAGGGGTGTTCTCCATCTCCTGGATTTTCTGTGCTAGGGTTGACTAGCATGCCCGTAGCCAGGATTTTGAATGGGGGGGGTTCTTCCCACTGCTTGAGGGGACCTCGAGCGCCATAGGCGCGAGGTTCCTAGGGGGGTCCGGGGGCATACTCCCCCGGGAAATTTTGAAAAATGAACCTTCTAAAATGGCTTTTCGTGCGTTTTTGAGAGGATTTCCAACAAAAAATCAGAGATAAATTTTTATTCAATGACAAAGGGAGCAGTTTTTTCAACGATTGCAGTCCTTCTTTTCAAGAAAAATCTTGGACCTTTACATAAGAAGTGGACCAAAAAGTGGACCTTTGCATAAAAAGTGGACCAAAAAGTGGACCTTTGAGCCTTGTGGGGGCCTGGCTACGGGCATGACTAGATATACGTAGTGCCGTCGCATTTGTAGACCTGGACAGGGCTTGAGCCGATGTGATGAACACCGCTACGACGAATGTTTTGCCCCTCAAAAAAGATATGTTCGGACATGGCATTGGCTCTTTAGCAATATGGCAACGACCGTTTACGAAACAGAGTTTACACGATGAGCCACTACCCTTCTAGCGTTAGTAGTAGAATAAGAAGGAATGACAATGGATCATCAAACAAAATATCCTTTTATTATAATTATCCTCCTTGTAAACACTGAGTGCCAGTTGATAGTAACGACACAAACTCAAACATAACCCGCACCTCTTGGGATAATACTGACATACATACCTGTGATACACATAGAAAACAACTGGAAAACATAACCCGCAACGCTTAATACTGATATACATTGCCGTGATACGCTTGGAAAACAACTGACCAGTACCAAATTATGTAAGGAACGCTAACAAACTAAACGCAATAAAATTATCCAAATTGATGTAATCACTGATATACATACCTGTGATACACATAGAAAACAACTGGAAAACATAACCCGCAACGCTTAATACTGATATACATTGCCGTGATACGCTTGGAAAACAACTGACCAGTACCAAATTATGTAAGGAACGCTAACAAGCTAATAAAATTATCTAAATTGATGTAATCACCATCCTACAATACACATAGCAGCAGGAAGCAGACCATGTACCTCCCGAATGGCAATTAGCGTTATTGTACATGAACATGGTAAAAACCACAAATTGCCAGAATTTTCCATCCCAAAACAGCACCAAATGACGATTGCATTTTCCCTTTGATGTCTTTAAGCTCTAGAAGTGTTCTATGGTCATGGTTTAAGTTGCTGGACCCAATAAGTAGTAGATAGAATAAGTAGTTTTTAGAATTGTGTTTTAGCACGAACTGTTTGTTGTGAGTTTTATGTTTAGTGTAAGCTGCATAATGTAAAATCTGACAAACTTGCTAGGACATTCTTTAGACATAAAACAGACAAAAATGTTTACGGATGAGGGTGTCTCACTGATGGTGACACACTATACTGGCCACAGATTTTTCCTGAATTTTCTTAACACAAGAGTAATATTTTAATAACATACATTAAAACTATAATAATTCTGGTAGGGCATATTAAGGCACCTCTATGTGCATATTACATCTTTAATTTCCTAACATCTAGTCTTCATTTGATATTGCATCACTAAGATTAGGTTTGTGCTACTGTAAGCATTTCGGTTTGTGATTTTTCATCTGTTTTAAGTTGTACACTTAGATACTCACTATTTGTATAGGTTAGACAGTTCTACATGTAACATCAATATTAATAAGACATGAAGGTTCAAACAAACTTCAAGTAAAAACTGCATCCATCCCATAATAGTACACTACGTCTTGATATACAATGTACCTCTGGTATTACCATTGAACTATTGCCCCTCCAAAACAAATATATAAAACATTAAAACTTCGGCAGTGTATAACTCAAGAAACAAGCCCAAACAACAAACTTAAGTAGTACAGTCATGGAACTCTCACAAACATCTCAGCCACTGATAAATATTATTCTAAAAACAACAACAACCTCTATTTAACCTGAGATATGGCCACTGGTTCTATTGCTGAATTATTTTCCTTGTATATACAGTACATTATACATCTAATATCATAGCACATTTTTATATTTATTACTGACATTACAGTCAACACAACACAACAAAGTCTCCACCAGACTAGCTACCCTGGTTAGAATTCAGTCAAATTTAGCCAAATAGGGAGGATAATTTGACAGCAGAGTTTGGCCGCCGTACTCTCTGGACTAATATTACTAATATTCATCCCATTTTTGCAGAGTTGTACCATCCATAGCCACTTAGGAAGGCCTGGTGGAGGCTATAATACAACAGTCAACACTCCACCATCCATACCCTTAGAAAGGCCTGGTGGAGGCTATAAGACAACAACCCACCATCCATACCCTTAGAAAGGCCTGATGGAGGCTACAAGACAACACAGACATATACATTGTAATAGTACCATAATTGTTACCCTGGCCAGCCCTTGAGATAGCAGCATAAAGTCTATCTTCTACTCATCTAAGCGGTCAACCTGGACAAA